TAATGCCATTGAATGTCAAGAAGTGATGGTTAGATTCTGTCTTGTTGGAGATGGAAATTTTCTGGCACTTACATGGTGTGAGTTACTGCAGCATGTTCACAAGGAATACTGCCAAGTTTTCGGACATAATGAGATTGGTCAGTTTTTTTCAGATATATCAGTGCTATGCCATATAGTAGATGCACTGCCCCTGTGGCCACTGGCAGCTGTAAACACAGTTCCTCATGGTTGTTAGATAACAGGTGTAGAGCTGGATCAACACAGCAGGCCAAGCAGCATCAGAGGAGCAGGAAAGCTGACGTTTCGGGCCTAGACCCTTCTTCCTGCTCCTCTGATGCTGCTTGGCCTGCTGTGTTCATCCAGCTCTACACCTTGTTTTCCTGCTCCTCTGATGCTGCTTGGCCTGCTGTGTTCATCCAGCTCTACACCTTGTTATCTAAGATTCTCCAGCATCTCCTCAAGGTTGTTGCCAGGTACATTTGACAGGAAATGGCATTTATGAGTGATGACTGCAATATGTTAATCTGCGACCTCTGCATAACAGCTGCAGCCACCTCTGCTAACAATCTGTCAAAAGAGCTGTATAGTAAAAAAAAATTGCAATGGTCCCCAGCTATTTTCAGGGGCAAAACCCAGCTCAAGTGCCAGGATTGTACTTTTAGCCTTTGTGCAGTTTGAGAGGTGTAAGGGGCTGAAACATTCTATGTTGGACAACCTCAGTTTTACAGAAGGTAGAATGTTGGAGGTGTACTCAAATAATCAAGTCCTGAGGTAACAAGGGAACAGAGGATCTCAATAAAAGATTAGGCAAAGTAGGGTGAGGTCAAGTGATGTTAAGTTGGAAACAAGCAATCTTAACAGATGCTCATTGTAGCTGCAGTCTCAAATCATATGAAACTGAAGTTGCAAACAGTCCACATCAGCCTGAGATAACTATCAGAGAGGATGAAATCAGGGACATGTCGGTAGAGTTTGAGGCAGGAACTGTTGATAAATGGCTGCTGTTTTCCCAATTTTTAATTGGAGGAAGTTTCTATTTGTCGAGTACTTGAAGTAAGAAAGGTAAACTGACAGTGTACGGACTGTAGAGGGGCTGAGAGGCATAGAAATGGACATCATCGGTGTATGTATGAAAGATAACGTTTTCAGATGGCATGTGGATGAGAAATAGGAGGGGAGTCTCTCAGGATCGAGGTTGACTTGCTCCTGCTCCAATTTGATGGGCTCTGTCAATAAGTCCACATGTGGGCTGATGATTCTTCAAAGTTCAGGTCGATGAATTGCTTAGTAGTTCCTGTGTTCTCCAATGCTTCACCCTCACCTCTGTATTCCTTAAATAAGTATCTTGATGTGCTTGGTGCATTCCCGAATGAACCTTCTTCATGTTGGCCAGTCATAAGTCAAGGGTTGACATGCGTCAATGGAGATATTTGATTTCTACGGAGATGCCTTGAGGACATCACTCAAGTGGTTCCAATACCCTCCTGGGAGTCTCCTGCCATGACTGAGTTGTGAGTAAAGCAGTTTCCTCGAGATCCTTTATGAGCATCAGAGATAACTGTGTGGGTTTGGAAAGGTCAGAAGCATACTTGAATCCAGCACAACTGGCACAGGGCTTTGCACAATGTTTGGTGCCCATCCTTTCCAGTGCAGAAAAGTTGGTTACCTTTATCAACAAACCGGTGGACCCCAAACACAATGCACCATCGGATGGTCGATGCTTCAACTCCAGCATAAACAGTATTCACCCAACATCTGAATGCTGCAGTGGAAGTTTATATTGCTGCTATCAGGATTCTCGATACCAATGTCAATGGAGCCTCAAGGTGTCACAGAACCCTCACTATCTATTGTCCAACTGATCTACTCTCTAAAGACCACGTGCAGATGTGCCCATCTGCTGAAAATCCTTTTTCCCCCACTTCCTCCTTAATTTTGGTAACAGGTTCAGGAACCATGCTCATTCTTCCAGTCATCCTCAATGCCAAAAGGAAGTCTAACTAGGCCATTAATATCTGGGAGCAACTAATACGTGCAGAAACCTTGCAGTCAGCAAAAAGAACATCAGCTTTTGCTATACCACTTCCTGTAAACATTTGTAACTTGAAGCAACCATGGAAAGTACCATTCACAGAACTGTAGAAGAAATCAACTAGCAACTACTTTGTAAGTCATTGATTAAAAACAAATGAACTACAGATGTTGTAAATCAGAAACAAAAACAGAAGTTGCTGGAAAAGCTCAGCAGGTCTGGCAGCATCTGTGAAGAGAAATCAGAGTTAACATTTCAGGTCCAGTGATCCTTCTTCAGAACATATGTTCAGCTGTGTGAGGCATGGAGTTTCAAAATGACACTGCTTGTGTCAAATCAGTGTTGCATACAGATTAACCTCAAGATCTGCCTGCTGTCCGTACTTCCAACCAACATTACTGCCTTCACCAGTATGGAGTCTGGAGCGATACATAACAAATGTGCACACGTGCAATAAGCACTATGTTAGTCCCGATGTCATTGTCGGACTCAAACAACAGGTGCTATCAAGCCCAGTTTTGCATCCAAGAGTTTAAAATAAGATATTATCTAGGTCGTAAATTTGACCCAAGCTTATAAATCATTATTACTCAAAAATATTTGGTTGTCTGAACGTTTGAGCAACAAACTCACTTTGAACCAATACAGACACTGCGGAAGTATATTTCCACAGAGATTCTGCTACTAGATCACTGTAACTTTGACAGAAGAACAGCAAGAAATCTGTTACCTCTTATTTTCACTGTCCAATACCCTCCTAGCCAATTTCCCACTTTACAAACTTAAGCTCATCAAAAACTCAACTGCTCACACTTTAAAATGCACAAGTAGTGTACACCTATGTTCATTAACTTATACATTGCAATTATAACATTTCATCTTTATTTTTAATTGCTTCAAGCTTTCACTTCCTCTCTGTCTCTACAAATTGTTTTGTTAGCCCTATTTTACACTTCTCCAATTTAGATCTCTTAAGCATTCTTAAATCTCTATGCTTCATTGTGTCTTCAGCTGTCTGTACGCTAAGGTTTTGCAATTCCCATCTAAACCTTTCCACGTTTCTTTCATCCCATAATTCACTTCCTGAAACCTACCCAATGGACCAAACTTTCTCCATTTCCCAACAGCTTGTTGTATTGTTGGGTGTCAATTGGCTGATTATGCGCATGTGAGGTGTAAGGCACCCAATTGGGTTTTAATTTCTGTGTCATTAGCCATGATAATCAGTGAAAGGATTAAAATAAAGAAAAAAGAACATTGTCTTTAAAGTGCCAATTCAGCCTTCAGCCAACTCAGGTAACAAATAAGGACCAAGATCTTTAACCTGGAACTAAGATTGTAGTTTACTCAGCAGTGGTCCCCTACTTTGAAGACTTGGACAACAGAGACCTTAAAAGACTAGAGGAAATATCACAACATCTTTCAGATCTGGTGTCATAAAGCCAGCCTAACAGCCATCCTCTCCTAAGTCAGTTTTTCCCACTTCAAGATACTAATCACTCAAATCCAGCTCAACTGAGCAGAACATGTTGTTCATATGCTAGACACCAAACTTTTGAAGTGGCTGTTCTACTTGGAACTCCGTTGTGGCAGAAGGTCCCAGGAGGAATGCAAAAACAGTTCAAGAATATCCTCAAAACACCCTGAAGAAGTCAACACCCTTGTCAACTCAAAGAAGTCCCTGGCTTTTCACTCACAACAGAGAAGGTAAATTCAAAAAGGCATAAAACAGATCAAGGAACACACAATGGCAAAGAATAGGGTCAGAGAATGCACACAAACCTTGCAACTCCTCCACCAAACCAACGAACCACCTGCTGCCCTATGTGTGGCAGAGTCTGCAGATCATGCTTTAGACTTAGCCACCTTAGAACCCATCAAACAAGTCATCCTCAAATCTGAGGGACTGCCTAAAAAGAATATATATGCTCACACATATTTAAATAATATACAGAAATAGAAGAGCGTGAGATTAACTGGAGAGATAGTAAGCAGAAGTGTCAGGGCCCTAAACTGGAGAGGAATGGGTTTGATCAGGAAATGTAACCCTACATCATACCCAGTTCAAAACAGCATTCATATGATTCCACAATGCTAAGCAGGAATACCAGCCCCATTTTTAAAAAAAAATCTGAATCAAAATGGCTTCAAATGGAGTATATAAAAGTGGGGACGTACTGTGCTTTGCCTTAATACTTTTGCCTCTAAATAGTGCACAACTAACAGTTGGGAGAAAGAAACATCTCATTGATCCAAAGTTTCAGTAGCCTTTGATCTAACAATCCAAATGATTTCATTGGTTTCTGAAAAAGCTCTCACTTCAGCCTTTTTTAAAAAGATGTTGACGAATTTAGCAGACTGTCAACTTCATAAATTTGTGTCTGTAGACAATGTGAACTAAAGAAAAGTGCGTACCACAATCTCAATGAATTGTGCTTAAGTGTTGATGATGAAGTGTTAGTATCTCTGGTCTCGCAGAGAAGTCTACTTCCATAATGTTACGTCTGGAAAGAAGCTTGTGATAGTCCGAAATACTTGGTTAACATCAGAATTGACCGCACCCTGTTATATTTTGAATTACAGCATAGGATAATGACTGTCACTATGATTCAGTTTCATAAGCAACATATTTACAAATGAACACTCCCTCAGCAGGAGGGAGTTTATCCATAGGGCAGGTTACGACAGAAAAAAAAACAGGATAAAACGCATCAGCTTTAGCTGTGCTTATTGTTCGTCTAAATAAGCCCACTTTGAGACATGGTGAGACTTGATAAAGGGTTTTATGATCGGAGACATCACATATGCATAAATTGCAGAGGGAAGAGCAGACTGTCAACATCACGGATGTGTTTTGCGTGGGATTTATAATTAAATAGGGTGGATCGACTTTCCCGTCACACGAGGGTGTGTTTGTTTTTAAAAGAGTGAGGCCACATGAAAATAGATGACGTGTTTCCTCGCTCACCCCAAGTATATCTGCGACTAAGCGACTCCAACGGTCAAAGAGCGTTGGCAATGTAATCCCCTCAACGGCCCTTTTAACGGCTGTTAGGACAGTGACCTTTCACCTTTTGGTTTCTGTCCGTTCAGTGAATCGGAGACAGCTGGAGAAGAGTCACCGAGTCTGCGCGGCGGAAGGCGACCTGCGCGGGCGTCCGTGCGCGAGCGGGGCACTGAGTCTGCGCGGCGGCTCCCAGCGATCAGTGAGTCTGCGCAGCGCTTCGGTCTGCAGAGCGTCCCTTAGAGCGAGTGCGTCACAGCGGCCCAGACTCGGAGCCGCCGCGATCCCCGTTAGCCTTCTGTTCGCTCGTTTGGTCGATCGCCTGCAGATATGGTCAAGATCGGCTTCAACTCGCCTGTCGCTCAGAAGGATGGGAAAGGCGCTCTCCTGGTGCCCGAACCGGTAAGTACGGACTGGCGAGTCGGAGGGAGGGTGACGGAAGGAAGCTCCCCGGGATATGGCGCATCCGGCGGCTGCTTCACCGGACCCGAGCCGAGCCTCCAACCCATGGGGCGAAGCTGCTTCGGAGGCTTATTATTTCTCCGCGGCTTGTTTTTCTGGGGTGGGGGAGAGGTCGGGAAATTGCTGGAGGTATCGGTGGGGTGTGCCGCTGTTCCTTTCCTGATGGTGTCTTTGACTTTGCGTCCTATCCTCGTCTGATCACCATATGTATGTGACGGAGAGAGCCACATTCATGGTTCTAACTAACTGCCCCTGAATTTATTCAACTCCCTCACTACAAAATGGGAAGGACGGCTTCCAATTTCTGTTACTGTGGATGTTTCCGCTGCTGTCCAATGCTTCTGGTGTTCACTGTCTCTTTGCCGAGTTCCCAAACGCTTTCGATTGTCAATAACTGTCCGGTAAACATTGAGACTGCATTACCCAAAGCAATCAAATCCATAGCCATGCAATCTCTGGGTTATCAGAGTATTTTCAGCCCAGCAATTGAAAGGCTGAATAAGATTCATATTGTGGCATCTTCGGGTAATATCCCTGGCTAGATAAAATAGAACGCTTTGATGGATGTTTTCTGATGACATCCCTACTGCAGTCTATAAGAATCTTCTTTTAATGCCTTGATTACTATTTGCATGAACAGACACTCTTAAAACTGTTCTGTAAGTAAAATTAGGTGCCAACCAGATGTTTCCAGACTGAAAGCACAGTACTGTGGATTCTGGAAATATGAAATAAGGCAGACCTGGAAAGGTTCAATAGGTGTGGAAACATTTGTGGAGCAAATATTAATTACGACTTCAAGCACAGTATAATTCCTCTTTGGATCAGTTTGAAGGAATAATCATATGAATTGCAACATTAACTCTGGCAACATCTGTGGAGGGAGAAACTGACCACGGTTTCTCCAGCACTTTTTATTGTAGATATTCATAGAATTTTGATTGTTCACTTCTTTTCTAGTAAAGCAATCTGCTCTAAGAAGTGATTGAGGTCCATTAGAGGTTTTCTTACAAATTCATTATAGATTTTTGGCTTTGGGCATTTCAAGAATTTCACTGATGAAAGTGAATTTCAAAGATGTCACTGCTTTGAAATGTGTAGGATGTATCATGTAAATAAACGTATCTGTGGAATTTGTGTTGTCAGTGCTCCTATTTAAGTGTGTGTTCTACTTTCCTATAGATTATATAATAAAACCTTACTCCAGCTTTAAATTTAACGTGAAGCATGTTTTATTATAAATATCTTGAAAATGTGAATACTTGTCTAAATAACCTCTTTTATTGAACAGGACCAGCTTTATAACACCCACATATTAAAATTAGTCTTTTTATTAATTGTAGCCTAGTTAATTAATGCAGTAAGGCATAGACAGCTTTCTTATAAAGCTGCTAATGTGTACTTTCTTAATCACTGTTCTAGTTAGCTACTCTTGACAAGTCACGTTGTTATAGCAATGTTGTGAAAATGTATTTTGACGGCATTTTTAAAATGTCAGTGAAATTTGCATGGATACTCAGGTGTATAATGCAAGTATAATTGCATTATGTAAGAGTACACTAGTGAAAATAATTGTTGAATGTGACTTATTTTCCATATTGCTTTGTCTCACACATTTTGATGGAGAAACTCCATGCAACCTAATTATCATTTAATGATTCATGGTAATTAACATTTTTTTTGAGATATTACGTCTAACTGGAATGATGCACTTCCCTTTTGATCTTTGCTCTGGAATTGATCAACAATTGAATAATGTGCCCTATCTTTTTATTCTTTTAGACTGAATTTAATTATTTCTGGAATGTAGATTAGCCTATAGTATAAATGAATTAAATTGGGCAACAAGAGGATTGGTTGAATAATAGAATTTATTCCAGTGTGATGTAGTTATAATGGAAATTCTGATAAGACACCCAAAGTGCATGTTATCACTTTTGAGTTTTCCTAATATACGCAAATTAAGTTTCAAGAGATGAAGCAATTTTAGCAGGACTCTATGAAACCATGCGCAGCGTCCTGTTTTTCTAACTACCTTGTACTAGAAATGTGTATTTGATGCAGTGTAACAGTTTTTTGAGCAAAATCTATTCTTGCAGCATTTTTTTTCATTATGGTGTAGAAACAGTCATTAGCTAGGACAAATGTTACAAACATGTAAACTTATGAATTCGGAACAGAAGTAGAGCATTTGTCTTCTTGAACCTGCTCTGACATTCACGACTGATCTTCTCTGTTTGTGTTTGAATTCTGTATTCCAAATATGCTCCAAGTAACCTAAAATTTTTGTTAGGAAAGCCAATCAATTTACCTCCAATTAAAATGTTAAAAGATTTTACCTTCTAAGGCACAGAGTTCCGAAGTTGCATACTCCTCAAAAAATAAATTTCATCTTGCCTCAAAACAACAACCCCTAATTTTAAGACAGCATCCCTAGTTCTGTACTATTCAAAAGAGGATATGTCATTTCCATGTTCACCTTGTTAGAACTGTTCACAATTTTATAATTCAATCAAGCCACTTCTCTCTCTTTTTAAACTCCAGTGAAAATAAACACAGTATATTCAACCTATCTTCATAAAACAGCCTACTGGTTATGTAGCTTGTAAACCTCCTCTGAAATGTTTCCAGTACATTTCATCCTTTCTTAATTGAGAAACTGTCTACAGTTATTGATGTGTGGTCTCGTCAGTGCCCTGTTTAATTGAAGCATGACATTTTGGTTTTATGTTCAGTTCCTCTCCTGATAAAGGATAAAGTTCTTGTAACTACCTTAAATACTTGATGTACATGTACGCTAACCTGTGTCTCATGCACAGGACACAGTGTACGGTTCTGGAATCCACAGTACAGGAGGGATGTCATTGCACTCTTGAGGATACAGAGGGTATTTACCAGGATGTTGCCTGGGCTGGAGAGTTGTATTGATGAAAATAGGTTGAAAAGGAAAGAGATGATTTTCTAAGAGCAGAGGAGACTGAGGGGGAACATGATTGAGATGTATAAAACTTATGTGGGGGAGAGATAGGAAGGATCAGTGATCAGAGGGGACAGATTGTAAGGTAAAGGGTAAGGTTTAGGTAAGATAAGGTTTAGAAGGGATGTGAGGAAAATCTTTTCACCGAGATTGTGATGGAAATTTGGAATTCACTGCCTGCAAGGATGGTAGAGGCTGAAACCCTCTAACATTTAAGAAGTATTTAGATATGCATTTGCGATGCCAAGGCAAACAAGGTGAAGGACCAAATGCTGGAAAATGGGATTAGAATAGTTTGATGATTGTATTTGACCAGTACAGAATCGAGGCGAATTGGCATTTTTCTGTGCTTTAGACCTCAACTGTGATACCTAGATCCCCGTGAACCTCAGAATTCTGCAGTCACTCTTTATTTAGGTAATACTCTGCTTTTCTTATTTTTCCTGCCAAAGTGAATAATTTCTCACTGTCCCACATCATACTCGCAGATCTGTCAGATTTTTGCCTGAATGCTCTCATTATCTATATCTGTCTGTAATCTTATGTCCTCTTCATATCATACATTCCCACCTATCTTTGTGTCTCCTCATCATCTAAGTCATTCATATCAATTGTAAAACGTTCAGGCCCCAGCATGGACCCTACTCATCATTTCCTGCTAATCAGAATAAGACTCACTTACGTAAGCTGGTTTCTGCCAACCAGGTAACCACCTCACCGTGCTGGTACGTTGGCCTTTCACTACCTATTTATACTTTGTGGTATAATCTTTTACGTGACACCTTATCAATGCTTCCAAGTACAATATGCATGCAGGCTCCTCTTAGCCACAGCACGTGTTACTTCCTCAAAGAACTCCAATAATCTGGAGAACCGTAATTTCCCTTTCGTAAACCCATGCTTGACGCTTTCTAATTTTTTTTTTGAATTTTTTTAAGTGCCGTGCTATTACCTCCTTAATGATCAGCATCTTGTGTACATATCTAAAAATTGTTTCCTCTCTCAAAGGTTCCTTCAGTAAAATACTTGAAATCAATGAAATGGCACTGTGAAAGCTGGAGTCGAACAGCTTCTTCCAATATTGGTTGATTAATTTGCATTTATTTTATATATTTGGATGTTGGCACCACTGGTAAAGCTGCTATTTATCCATGGACAAGGAGAACCACGACTTCGACTGGGACAACCCCAAGATCCTGGGACAGGCTAGGCAGGAGACACAAAGATAGGTGGGAATGTATGATATGAAGAGGACATAAGATTCCTAATGATGACTTAAGTAGAGATTTGTTATACCTCAGTGGTGTAGGCAGAGACAAGCACGAGAATTCCTGGAAGCATGGCACTCCACGAAGCAGGCTATTAATAAACACATTGAACTCGACCCCATATACATTCCACTGCGGAAGAAACCCAGAAGTGAGGCAGTCCATTGCAACGGACCCCAGAGTTTAAAAGCCAGGCGGGACAACACACCGACGCTTCATCAGAGGCTGCACTGAGGATGTTACCAAGCACGGTAACGAAACGTATGCAGAACAACAAACCAGCTCAGCGAGCCAACCAACCTCAACACCCACAACCCGAGCTACAAATCTACTCCAAAATCTTAGAGCTGCTGTTTATCACCCATCCATAATTGTGTCTTGCAGTGGTGGTGAGCCACCTTGTTGAGTCACTGCCGTTCAATTGATGCATCCACTGTGCTTTTAAGAAGGGAGTTCCAGCATATCAATTTAAATATCCATATTTTTAATTAACATTAAGTTAAAATAAACAGTTCACAACAAATTCTTGAACTGGGCAGCAGTATGTTAGGGTAATTGAATTTTTTGAACGTTTACCATACACTAAAAAATAGCCAGTCAATGGTGAATTCTAATTTTAAGATGTAATGATTTTTATTGCAGCAGCTGTAGATGATACCAGTATGCAGCATTTTGACAGCTACATTACAGAGTAA